CGGCGAGATACCCTCTGGAAGCGCCTCTTCTTGCTGGAGCCAGCAGGGCCTGACCGGCTACGGCTAGGAGGGCGCCTGGCCCTGGCGGAGCTGGAGGAGCTCTTAGAGGCGGTGCATGCCAAGTCTATTGCGGACATTGACCCCCAACTGGTAAGAGACCTGACTCCACAGGCCCAGCATTGCGTCCAGCAGTGCCACAGGTGGCTGGGCTGGAGGGATAGCATCTTGGGTGACTCTGAGAACCCTCCCCAGGACTGTTTCCTCTCCATGACGGTCTCCTGGTACCAGAGCCTCATCAAGGTTCTCCTGAGCCGGTTCCCCCAGAGCTGCCGCCACTTTCAGAGCCCAGACTTGGGAACCCAGTACCTGGTGAGTCCCATTGGCCCACTTTGAAAGGAAGATCAACAGAAATCCTCACCTGACATAACAGAGCCACTCATCGAGTGCAGTCTTAACAAACAAGCCCTGCTTTACATTGTTAGACCACACCGACAGCCACTGAAACCTTTGGGCACTGGGTAGGGAGCCTGGGTACATGATTGCTGGCACCTGGCATGCCTACTCCAAGTGTGGCACTCAGGCCACTGTAACACACATGCTCACCCTCCACTGCTAACTCAGGATCTGTGTCTCAGCAATATCCCTAGAAGGCCTGTGCACCCTGGTGTGAAGGGACAGCTGAAGGACAGGGCAAGAGACAGCTCCAGCGGTGGGTGATGAGTGTGAGTGAGAAACTAGAGGCTAAGGATGGTACAGCTGTGCTTATGGAGAGGATTCGAGAAGACTTTGAATGGGAGAGTAGGTGTTGTGAACCTGGCAGTGAGCCTGGCACAAGGTTTATCTCTAGCATGCCCCCAGTCATCCAGAGAAGCCAGGGCTGCAGTGGGGCAGGCAGAGGGGCATTGAAGCACCTACCGGCGATGGAGCACTGAAGCTGGGATGGCTCAGAGGAGGGATGAGTGCTTGGGGCACATTGAGTCTGTGGCCCGTGAGGTATGTGGACATCTGGGATGGAGAGAGATGTAGACCATGGCCATGTTAGTAGATGGTACAGAAGTCCTGAGGAGAAATCACCCAGGGGTGGATCCCAGGACTGAGTGCTAGGGGGCAGCTGACATCAGGAGGCAGGAGGAGACCTAGAACTGGCTGGAAGGGTAGCACCAAGGGTCTAGAACTGCTCTTCACTGATTGGCTTCCCTATCATGACCTCTAGAAGGTTCTGACAGACAGGTTGAGGCCCAGTGTGGCAACACCATCCTGAGTGAGCCAGGTTTGCAGATAAGATCAGGCATAGTGACAGAAGGAGGCCTCACCCTCTTGCCTCCATAAGAAGCCTTCCAGGAGGACTCACACCTGGCACTCCTCCTTCTGTTGCTTCAGGTTGTGCTGAATCAGAAGTTCACCGACTGTTTTGTCTTAGTGTTTCTGGACTCACACTTGGGAAAGACGGTGAGAACAGAGGGCAGGGGTTTAATGGAGGCCATACCCCAGTACCCCACCTCAGCCTTCTAAGGTTGGGCTGCCATCCTCTGCACTCAGCCTCTGTCCTTTCCATGGCCTTCTCACCACTTCATTTGTCATTTCCCTACAGTCTCTGACGGTGGTTTTCCGAGAGCCCTTCCCAGTGCAGCCCCAGGACAGCGAGAGCCCTCCTGCCCAGCTGGTCTCTACCTACCACCACTTGGAGTCTGTCATCAACACAGCCTGTTTCACCCTCTGGACCCGCCTCCTCTGAGAAAGTGGACCACTGACTTGTTGCCTGAATTATGGATCTATAAGCTTGCCCACTTGAGGCAGGACAGGCTGACACTTATGAACCCCAGGGTGAACTCAGACACAAAGTGACACCAGAGGACTGTATGTCTGGGGGGACTGCTGCTACAGCCTGGCAACAGGGACCTTGCTGCTGAACAGCCTGGCCTCGCCTCAGGTCCCTGGGCCTGTGCAGAAGAGGATGGCTCCTTCTGCACTCCTGGTAGAGTGCCAGGGAACGTCACGTAATCTGACAAGCTCTCACCTCAAAGAGCCCTGTCACTTGGCCATCAGTGCTGGACATGACCATTGAGACAAGACCTGGTTCTGATCGTGACTCTGCCTGCCAAGCACCTGTGACCAGCTTTACCTCCTCCTGTCCCCATTGGACCTTTGGTTCCTCATCAGTGGTTAAGGAGGGCTCAAAAGCTCTCCTGTGTCCACAGCAACCCTGCCACCAACTGGAGGATTTCAGCTTGAGCCGTGTGTCCCTTCTCAGTGGGAGGGAATTAACCCAGAGACATTGAAGCATTAGACACTATGTGTCCCCTACCCCTGTAATATACACATAGGAAAATGTTCAGTGTGATTTTAATTCAGAGGAAGCACATCAGGACACTAGCCACTGCCCCAGAACAGCATGCAGGTGCTGTGTAGAACCTTACTGGCCAGTCCGTGGGTGACCCCATCTGTCCCAGTATGAACGTAGCCAACTCAGACCCTCCACTGTGTCTCCTGCAGTAAAACAGAGGCAATGCCATCTTAACCTATAGGGAAAGAACAACCCCTGTCCAAAATCTGTCCCTCCAGTGTCCCCTTCACCTCGAGGCCGATACTCGCAGCCCACAAATCCTTGGTAGCCTTCATCTTCTAGCAGCTGGAACAGGTAAGTAAAGTCCAGTTCTCCAGAGCTACCTGGCTCCCCTCGGTCTGGGACCTGTGCCACTTGCACATGCCCTAGGGACAGACGGGGAGAGGCATGGGACAGCAAAAGGTGGAAAAGATGGCAAACATAAAGAACATCAGACCAGGAGGGAGCTGGGGAGGGTAGCCCTCACCTACGATGGGCAGGAACTCCCTGATGTTTCCTGTCAGATTCCCATCCATGATCTGCCAGTGGAATATGTCCTGGGGAGGAGAATGTCAGTCAGAACCCTCAAGCGTCCTCCGCAGTTCTTCTCAGACTGGAAGACATGGCCTCCTGAAAAACACTCATCTCTCACTCACCATTTGCAATTGCAGATTGGGTCTCCCAACCTTCTGCAAGATGGCTGCCGCTAGGGGGAAAGGCAGGGAGACAGCCATGAGACTGGAATATGCGGATCAAAGAGGACTAGAAGGTGGCATAGGACTACATTCCTACCCTGCTGGGGCGTGTCCAGGAAATACTGGGGGTCTGTGAGACGGGTGTTGATGGGCTCCAGCAGTCCCACGAGGTTCTCCTAGAACCATGTTAGAGGCTGTCAAGGGCTCCTCCCCACATCTGTCCTGGTCTGTCACTGGGCAGTGACCTCATCTGTCCTCTTTGTACGTTACCTACTCTGTCCCCACTGTGTACCTCCCCTCTCCCCAATACATTAGGTATGCTTCCACCTCTTACCTGAGCCAGAACCCCAGCTGCGTGCCTCAAGTTCTCCACAAAAACTGTCTCCATGTCCCCCTTGACTACAGCTCGGTTGGCCCCTTGGGGTACTCGACCAGCCATCAGATGGATCCTATGGAGAGGGTGGTAGGGAAGGGTTCATGCCTCTCTGTGCATCTCTTTTTAGATGCCCTCTAACTATCCCAACCTCACCCAGTCTCCCTCAGGCATCCCAGCAGCCTCCTGCACTTCTGCGTCAGCCCAAGGAAAGTCCTTCTTCCAGTCAACCCACCCGGGCCTCGCCCATCACTTACTCCTGTACTCTTAACTCCTCCCTTCCCTAGTTCCTTCTCAGCCCATAGTCATGCTTGAGGATTTTAAATTTTGTTTTCCAGATTTTTAAAATGTATTTGTGTTTTACCTTTGTGTATATATGTGTACCATGTGTGCCTGGTGCCCTTAGGGTCAGAAGACATTGGATGCCCTGTTACAGGATGTATAGATGGTTGAGTTGCCATGAAGATACTGGCAACCCAATCTAGATCTTCTGTAAGAGCAACAAGTGCTCTTAACTGCTGAACCATCTTTCCAGCCCTGAGGCTCACCTTTTAAAATGACTTTGACCCTTGTCCTTTCAGAGAGTCTGTGTTGCTTAACCCTGCTTCCTCTCCCTGTGCTGCTCAGCAGTGAGCCTCTTGCCACAGTTGCCAGGAGGGATCCAGGAGGAGATCCTCCTAGAACCATGCTGGAGGCTGGAAAGGGCTCCTCCCACATCTGTCCACTTCTTGTCTCTGTTCCCAACTGCCAGCAGGTATTAAATCCCCCTGGAACTCGGTATTTACCACCTCCAGCCTCATTAACTCAGCTGGACACAACAACCCTCCTGCCAGGGCCACAGCCTCCTGAATAGCTTACCTCCCCCTATAAAGTGGATGTGTGGGCCTGCCAGATTCAGTTCTTGCATCACTATCTGCAAACAGCTTTCTTCTAGTAGGGTAGGTTCTCGCCCTACCACACCTCCACCCCTGCCCCCTGCTTTCTCCAACTTATTAGCTCCCTAACCAGACCCCGGCTCCCAGCACAGGATCCCGGTATGATAAGAGCATGACAGCAGCGTGGCATACGGAATAACACTAACAGATGAAATACCAAAACCAGACTGCAAAAGGCCCTAGCCCACAGCGGTGTCTCTCTCACAGCTCCTGACTGGGTCCTGTGGTCAAGGAAGGGCAGGGCAGGGTACCTGGGGCAGCCCAGAGCCTTGGCGTACAGCACAGCCTGCTCCAGCCCCTCTCGGAAGGCCGCCTGTCTCCCGGGGACGGCCCCCAGCCCCATCTCCCCCTTCTCATGGTCTCCTGTGGAGAGAACCAGCGTTAAGTGTGGGTTTGGCTCTCCGCAGCCCTTGCGGCTCCCCCACCCCGGGCGCGCACCCCGCGGCGTGTTGATGAGCACCAGCCGCAGTCCTGCGGCCCGCGCCGCGCTCGCCAGCGCCTGGGGAGGCTCGGCGTATGGCCAGGCCACCTCGGCCGCTTCGAAGCCAGCACGGCCCGCGGCGTGTAGCCGCTCGGGGAGCCCGGGGAGCTCCGGGAACAGCCAGGAGACATTGGCCGAGAAGCGGAGCGGAGCCATGCCGGCGGAAGGCGGCGACGAGGGCGCGGCCTCGGGTCAGGAAGTAAGGCCAGCGGCGAGGGGCGGAGCGAGGCCGCCCCAGCCCAGTTCAAATAAAGGGAGGTTGACCTGCGAAGGAATTGCCTGGTGAAAAGGAGGTAACTGTAAAAAAAAAAAAAAAAAAGCTTTATTTGAGTCTCGCGCGTATGCTGGACCAGGACTACAGCCGCCATCCTCCTGCGCCAACCTCCCTATGTGGGATTATAGGCCTACCTCCGCCACACTCGGATCTTTATGCCAGCGGCTCTCACACCGCCCGCCCATTGATTTTCCCTTACAGACTAAACACTAAGCGAGCATTTTTTTTTCCCTCAGAAAATTCGGATCGTGTCGTATAAAGTTTTATGGCCTATCTTTTTTTCAAATGACGACCTATTAGCATTCCCCCCGTGTTCTTCAATACTCTTCAAAGTCATGCCAATCGCTGCTTATTGTTGCACTGCACACTTAGACAACCCATAATTATCATATCGCTGTGGCTGGTGTGTACGCGCACGCGCGCCGAAGGAGCACATTAAAACACCTCTGGATCCCCATCTCTGCACCGTTTTCTTAGATTCCCCTTTTTAAAAAATGATGTCCATCACAGTGCTTGCCAGTCCTGGATGTTTGTCCATAAAAGAAACTGCTGTACCAGGGTAACTGTGCTAAGCAGCTGGGGGCGTGTCGGTCTACGCCTCCACTGATGGGGTCATTGGAGGATACCCAAGGGCAGCCAACCTGGCCAATCAAGATTGGCTTAGTTTTGTCAGACGACTAGGTCTGTGGACAGAAGAGTGTAACAGAAGGACCCGGAATCCCCACCCCCCACTCCCCACCCCTGTCCCCGCCAGCTGCTTCATAGCTAAGTACTTATCTCACCTGTAAAGCCTCCCGTGTTCTTTGAAACAAATTTGAGCAAATATCCTTTCACTTACAAAAACACAGATTTCAAAAATACATAGAATATATTCCAAAAGAAGAAACAGGCTTAAAAATTTTTTTTCTTTTCTTTTTTTATGTGTATGGATATTTCTTTTACCTACTTGTATGTCAGGGCACCACACTCGTGCAGTGCCGATGGAGGCCAGAAGAGGGCATCGGATCTCCTGGAACTAGCCCTGTAGGTGCTGGGAACTAGACTTGGGTCCTCCGGAAGAGCAGGCAGTGCTGGGGGACGGTCTCCTGCTCTCTTTAGATTCTTGATAGCAATGATACAGTGTTTTCTGAAAGGTACATTTATAAGGATCGTATACACCTCTAATCCTAAATACGTAGGAGACTGAGACAGGGTCACTGTGAGTTTAAGGCCAGCCTGAGGAATGTAGCAAGACCTTGTCTGAGAAAAAGAAAGGAAGGAAGCTGGGCCATGGTGGCACAAGCTTTTAATCCCAGCACCCCCAAGGCAGGCAGATATTTATGAGTTTGAGGCCAGTCTGGTCTACAAAACTAGTTCTAGGACAGCCAAGACTACACAAAGGAACCCTGTCTCAAAAAGCCAAACCAAACAAACAAATAAGAAAACAAAAGAAAAGAAAGAAGCTTTAAAATGTAAATTTGTACCACACCCTTCCATAAGTAGAATTCATCACTTGTAAGGTACACAGGACTCTGAATGTCTCAAAGTACACTGGCAAATGCTATCTGTCACAAGACCAGGTGAGACTGAACTCTACCCTCAAGTTTTAGCTCTCAGCCATTTACAGGTTGATATCATAACCTACTCTCAAAGCGCTCCAGATGCCCCCAGCCAACTTCCACTTTTCTGCTCAGCTGTCTGTCATCTCAAGACATCCAGCTTCCTCAGACACTCAGGTGCAGGCTCACCCATCCTTAAGTCACATGCTTGCCTCAGACCCACCAGCTCACCTGTCACCTGACTTCTTGCCCATTTGCAGTTGAATTTTCTCTTGGACCTTTGGCTTGTTTGGAGCATGTCTCTTGGCTAGAGTCCAATTGGGTTGTGGCCTCTTAACTAAGTTTAGCTTGTTAATCAGTCACAGGTTTACAGTCCAGAGTGACACCCGAGGGAAGACATCTTTATTAGCTTTTTGCTGTAAATCTCTCACCTGTACCAAGGTAATTCTAAATAAATCCTAGCTGCACCAGCACCTCCCGAGTTCTGAATCAGGAACTAAACATTCAAACCCACAGTGATCCACACCCTCTTCGTATTCCTTTATGGCAGCAGAGAGAGTTTTATGCGCTAGGTGGACATGACTTGCAATTCCTCTCCAGTCCCTTACGACTTTCAATAAAGATAAATACAAACAAGACACAACGTCCGTGAAAACAATTTCCCCCTTTTCCATACTAAGGATGGAACCCAGACCCCTGTACATGGAACACATGCTTTTCACCAAGCTACACCCCAGCCTACAGAGTATTTTCTTCGTTCATAACTTGTGTCAACTGTAGTTTCTAGCACTTTGTGACACAGGCATCCTATGAAATTATTATGCCAAGTTTCCACTCTTTGCGTTTTCATTTTTACAGGGAATTGGCACAGGAGTAATGTTTCTTTATGGTATCAACAGTCTGGATTAGTCAATGGACGACAGCGAAAGGTGAAAGGTAGAATCCAGAGTCTCATCTGGTCGCATGAGAGCCTCCGCCTGTGCAGTGTTGAAACCGTCTGCAGTCCTGTGTTCTATACAAGTGAAATCCTCAGTGAGATCCATCGGGTACATTCCAGATCGGCCAAAATGAAAGTCAGTAGCAAATAGCCGATAGGATTTAGAACAACTGGCAAGCTCCCTCGGTGCTGGTGCGAACGTAAATCACTCTAACTACTTTGGAAAACAATTTGGCATGATCTCTCAAAACCGATGTGCCCTGGATCCAGCAGTTCCTCATCCAGGGGTAGTCCCTGAAGAAACATCTGCACAAGTGTGGCAGGAATAAGCCTCATGATATTCATAGCAACACGGTTTACCCAGCAAAAGGCTAACACGGGCCAAACGCCCACAGAGACACACAGGGATGAGCTGGAGCATTGCTGCACGGTGTCGCACAGAGAGGGGAAGACAAAGCTGACTGACGGCTCAGGTGAGAAACTGAGTTTCCCCTTGTACTGGAGCAATGTGAATTTGGCTCAAATTGAAAACATTAAGGTGATGGTATTTTAAAAATCGCAGAAACATAATATCTATAGTGTGCTGCCATTTTTATTTTGTCAAAATTTTTGTCTGATTTATATGTATGTGTCAACAGGAAGGTGTGCACGTGTGTAGAAGCGTGAAAGGACAGCCTGGTTTCTGGTCGAGCACTGGTTGGAAATTGCCAGAGACCCCGAAGGGTTCCCTGCCAGGGACAGCAGGTATTACACCACGTTCCCAGACTCTAGGCTCATGACACGAGATCACAGACCTCCATAAATCTGTGCCGTTCAGTCACATAGGAGCCCCTCCACAGGTAGAGGGCGTGACTACAGGCCACAGAGCCTCAAGACAGATCTCCATATTAATGAGATACCTAAAGACCAGAGGGGCATAACCAATTAAACATTCCTTCTCAGATCTTCCTCCTTACAAAAGGTATTTAACCTCTGGCCTGCCCTGAAAATATAGGGGTAGAGTTTTCATCCATTTTCCGCCATGACAATAGATATCTTAAGACCATAGCCTATTTCTCTTCCTTGGGACCTGCTATGGGGAACAGTGGAGAAGGTTTTCAACTACCAAGCAACAGACCTCTCTACATTCTCAGCCATGGAAGCCAAGCAACACAAGCAAGCAAGCCGAGCCAGCCATGACCCAGCCAAGCTAGTTGCTGTGACCACGACTCTCATACCTGCAGCACACAGCTGGAACTCATCCTTCCCCCTCTCCTCTTCGGTCTCAGCTCTTCTGCAGCACCCCAGCAGTACCTGAGAGCCCAAGGACCTGAGAATCACTGTTCCCCATCCGCCTTTTGGCACGGGGACCCCCAACCCAAGAGCTCTGGCTCCCTGCAGGACCTCAGACTGTGCTCTCCCACCCCAAGCAGAGTCCTGAGGCTTCAAACAGCACCAGTGGAGTGAGCACAGTCAAATTCCCATGCCTCTGTCCCCATAAGAGGCCCTAGTAGCCATATGACAAGACAGAGGCGGTACTCACACATCAACCCAACAAAACCTATGCACACTACAACCCAACACTCGCGAGTATGTGTGCCTGTGGTGTTAGACTCACTGGAACAGGACATGGATACCAGGAAACAGTCTCTTCTGTGGTGGGATCCTGGGTTCAAACTTAGGTCCCGGCTTGTGTGGCAAGCCTCTTACCCACTAAGCCTTATCACCAGCCCTGCCTCCATTTATACAAAGGCGGGGAAACCACCAACACATGAAGAGATACAGCATCTGTTTTTTTTTTTTTTAATGTCGTGAATAGCAATCACAAAACATGATTGTGTCTGGAGGGGAGAGAAGCAGAAGCTACTGGAGATCTGAGAAGTCACCGACATCCCTTCCCTTAAACTGGGTGGGACAGCCATGTACGCTAATTATGTCACGCTTCTTTATCGCTTACATATGTTTTGTAGGCACCAATTTTGTGTATCAGTTTCATATTTAATAAAAACAGAACTTTAAGACCTTCTGTGTATGTGCCTACCACCTGCTAGCACATTCTATGCTAACATTCTCATCGTGAGAGCCTCATCATCTCAAAGCTTTGCTACAGACTCGGCTTCCTTGCACTATTCGTACAGCTTGGGCCACAGCAACTGTCAGATAGTTACTGCTCAGATGCCATGGGGAGCATCCTACATCATGGTCTATGCCTACTGGCATCCAGAGACCCAGAGACCCCTTACCATTTGAATATGTGACTTGCTTCCAAAAAACTAGGATGGTGGCAGATACCTCTGAGAGTAGCTTATGAGAAAGCCGTGCTTCTGTCTTGGGCTTCTTACTCACTGGCTCCGAGGCAAACCTGCTGCCAGGTTGTAAAGTGCCCTGCAGAAAAAAACTACGTGTTAGAAACTCTGATGTCTACAGTTATGGTGACTGAACACATCTCTCCCACCCCTCCACATGCTGAAGTTCCATGTCAGTCGTTTTATCCTTGTGACAGACACCTGGGAAAAGCAACAGAAAGGAGATGAGAGATTTACTTAATCTCATGGTTTCAAAGGTCTCAATCCAAAAGCAACCAGACTCATCTGGGCTAGAGGCACTGCAGAATAGCATGACAACAGGAATGCAGAACAGAGACTTCTCACCTCACAGAAGCCAGGAAAGGGAGGGCATGAGGGGAAAGGGAGAGGTGTGTGGGGCGCACACCTGTAATCCCCTAACTCAGGAAGAGGAGACAGGCAGGTCTCTGAGTGTGAGGCTAGCCTTGTCTACACAGAAAGTTCCAGAACAGCCAGGGCTACACACTAAGACTACACATACACACACACGCACACACACACAAACCTCAAAGGACTTATTTTGCCTCATGGTTTCAGGGGCTTAGGGCTTGTGACAGAGCAGCACATCTTGGTGTTTGCTCAAGACAGAACAAGACTGCTCACCCACAGCCAGCAAGTGAGAGAAAGAGAAGTTGGAGTCTTAGAATCACCTTTAAGAGTCCACACCCCACCATCCAAAGACCTCTCACGAGGTTCCATCTCTTATCAACTTCACCACCTTCTAATAATAGAGCCCACCTGGTACCCAGCATGCACCACATAAAATACAAACCATGGCGTAGTCCAAATTAATACACTGGCTCAAAGCTGACAAGGATCTAAAGCTGACCTAGAGTCACAAGAATGAGCATAGAATGGATCCTCCCCAAGAGAGCTTTGAAGTGACTACACTATGACCAACAGCTAAAGCAGAACCTCGTAAGAGACACTGAGTGGCAAAAGCATACCAGGTTTCCAGACTCTAGGAAACTCTTTGGCTCTGAGTTCGGGGATAACTTGTTAACAGCAGTGGCTGACTAGTGAAGGAATTTGTGTTGGGACTAGTTCCCTTGTTTGGGTGGACTACTGTCTACCACTTTCATCTTTTCTTGGCCTGAAGGCATAAATAGGTGCCACAGTAATCTTGTCTCCTGACCCAGGCTGGGCCACTATAATATCTGTTATAGATGTATGTTGCCCACCCTTCCCTCTCTTCTCCTTCTAAAAAAAGCCACACACACACACACACACACACGGAGACAGCCAGCCTAGAAGAATAACACTAATGTCAGAGAGAAGAGGTAAAGAAAAGTAAAGAGAAGTACTGTGTTTGTCTCGCAGAGGCTCTGTTAGGGAATCAACCAGGTTGCCTTTCTTGTTTCCTCTTAACTTTTTCCAAAACTCAAGATTTCCCAGAACTAACCTGCTGTTTATCCTCCCAGCCTCCAGCACTGTGTATACTCCAATAAATATTTGAGTCTATCAGTCAAAACCAACATTGTATTGTTTGAATGAGAATGGCTCCTTTAGGTTGATATATTTGAGTACTTGGTCCCTAAGTATAGTGGAAGTGTTTGTGAAGGATTAGGAGGTGTGGCCTTGTTGGAGGAGGTGTGGCTTTGTTGAAGGAGGTGTGTCACTACAACCTGCCTTTAAGACTTCAAAAGATTCAAGCCATTTCCAGTGTCCCTCTCTGACCCACTCTTGTGGATAAAGAAGTGAACCCTCAGCTACTCCTCCAAAGCCATGCCTGCCTGCCTGCCTATTGCCATGTTTCTCTCTCTCTCTCTCTCTCTCTCTCTCTTTTTTTTTTTTTTTTGGTTTTTCAAGACAGGGTTTCTCAGCCGGGCAGTGGTGGCGCACACCTTTAATCCCAGCACTTGAGAGGCAGAGGCAGGCGGATTTCTAAGTTCGAGACCAGCCTGGTCTACAGAGTGAGTTCCAGGACAGCCAGGACTACACAGAGAAACCCTGTCTCAAAAACAAACAAACAAACAAACAAGACAGGGTTTCTCTGTGTAGCCCTGGCTGTCCTGGAACTCACTCTGTAGACCAGGCTGGCCTCGATCTCAGAAATCCGCCTGCCAATGCCATCCAAGTGCTGGAATTAAAGGTATGCGCCACCACTGCCTGGTGTCATGTTTCTCACTATGATGGGCATGGGCTCTCTTCTGTAACCGAGCACCTAAAATAAATTCTTCCTTCTATATGTAAAGACCTAACCTTTGGGCACCAGGATTTATATCATTTCATGAATCTTTATAATTAAAATTACATGGGCTGGAGAGATGGCTCAGTGGTTAAGAGCACTGACTGCACTTCCAGTGGTCCTGAGTTCAAATCCCAGCAACCACATGGTGGCTCACAACCATCTGTAATGAGATCTGATGCCCTCTTCTGGTGTGTCTGAAGACAGCTACAGTGTATTCATATATAATAAATAAATAAATAAATCTTTTTTTTAAAAATTACTAGCAGTAAATGGCTGGGTGACCCCCCACAGTGATGTAAAGATTTCAATGTCTAACAGGGTATCTCTGTCTTTCAAAGTCATAGATTATGCCAGCAATTTTAGTTCACTCTCCTCATTAAGCTCTTTATTATCTTGCCCCGTACAAGAACGTTTTCATCTCTCTTTAGCTTTCTTATCTGAGCTGTTAGCTTCCTATCATTTGGTACACTATGCTCAAGCCAGAGCCTATACATCATGCTGTATATTTCCACACTCGGCCATGTATTCCGTTACAGCTGCCTCCATTTAAGAAGATTCCCCCATTCAATTGTCACTCTGCTGGTATTCTTTCTGAGCCATTGAGCCTGCATTTCTAACTCCTCAAAATTTAACTTTCTGACTATACTCAATTTTACCAGTAATAGTCCATATCACACAGACTCATGTCAGCTTGTAACAGCGTCAAAAAGGAATAGAAATCTCGGGTAAAATTTCTTTCATTGACTCCTATTGTATCCAAGCATTTATACAGGAATATCCATGATACATCTACATTTGGGACCCTGTAACTAAAATGTCAGCACATTTAAATGGAATAATCTCTCACACACCATACATTGAATAATAGCATCATTATACAAAACAGAATTGAATCACTTTACAAAATTTGCACTTGCATAAGCAATTATCTATATTCTCAAAAGAATATTACAATATTTGCTATTCCATGTTACACATGTTCCTCTTCCAAAGGGGGTTCCTGTAGCTGGCCTTTTATCCTTGCTTTCTAATCTCTTGCTGGGCGGCTGGATCACATCCAGAAACCCTTCTTTCCCTCTCTTGCATACGCATCCTTAATAGCAAACAAAGGCTCTCGGCAGCCTAATGGAATGTTAACTAATCGCATGTCATCATGCAGACTCTAAACTCAGCAATAGCCCCCATGCACGTATGGTTTAAAGTAAGATACAAGTAGAACGTTTTTAAGTTGGTTAAGGTTTTTGGTCTGGTTGGCTTTTCGAGACATGGTTTCCCTGTGTAGCCTAAGCTGTCCCAGAACTCCCTCTGTAGACCAGGCAAGCCCTGAACTCAGAAACCCTTTGCCTATGCCTCTTAAGTGCTGGGGTTGAAGGGGCATGTGCTACCATGCCTGGCTTGTTAGTCTTTTGTTAAATTGTTTTAATTTTATGTTTATGGATGTTTTGCCTGCATGTGTGTCTCTATGAACCACTTGTATGCCTCGTCCTTTCAAAGACCAGAAGAACTCTCCCCTGGAGGAGAGTTGCAGATGGTTGTCAGCTGTCACACAAGTGCTGGGAATCAGACCTGATCATCCGAAAGAGCAGCCAATGCTCTTAACCCACTGAGCCATCTCTGCAGACCCTCTGCCTTATATTTTGAGATAGAGTCTATCACCCACATCTCACAGATTCTGCTAGTGGTTAACAAGCCCCAGGAATCTTCTTCTCTTCATCTCCCCACCCTGAGACTATAGATACTCTAACTTTTATGTGGATGCTGGGAATCCAAACTCATTTTACTGACTGAGCCTTCACCTACCTCCTCTCAAAACTTTTGAAGGCAAGTCTTTGATTATTACCGGAGTTGAATAATTACACCAATATCACATTTTTTAGCCATTAATATTTTCTTTTCATGGCTAGGGGGTAGAGTGTTTGCCTAGCATGTGTAAGACCCTGGATTGCTCCCCATGATTTGCTCAGCCTGCTATCTCCAACCCAGGGATGGCCCCACCCACAGTGGCCTTCCCATCACTAAGTAAATGCCCTACAGGCTTGCCTACAGTCCAGTCTTTTGGAGGCACTTTCTTAACTGAGGCTCCTTCCTCTCCAGTGACTCTAGCTTGTGTCAAGTTGATATAAAACTATCTTCACAGTGTCCTTCCAAAAGGAGTCTTTGGCCCCCTGTCCCCTCTCCTTGGTCTTCTCCTGGGGCTGAGACTGATTCAACTGGCTGCTGGTGACTTTAGCATAGAGTTGCAAGGTAGAAGCTATGGCTCAACAGTTAAGAGTACTTGGTTGTCCTTGTGGAGGACTCAGGTTCATTCCTAGCACTCATATGGTAGCTCAAACCATCCGTATCTCCAGTGCAGGGAGGTTGAATGCTCTCTTCTGGCGTCCGTGGGCACCAGACACACATGGAGTATACACATAAATATGTAGGCAAAACACTCATACCCATATTCTTTTCAAAGAGAGTAGTTGCTTCACTCAGGTCTTCTC